GTTGTACTCAGCTCTGCTCTCTCTGTCCAGTGGCTTCTGTGTTACCAGGGTGTAGAAATTCTCTATGGTACTCTTCAGAAGGAAGGGGAGACCATCCTCGATGGAACACTTCATTTTTCCGTTGTCCCCCGAGTCAGGATCTGAAATTCCAAAAATAGCTACCACGGTCTCAGGGGAGTTTTCTGGGACATCACTGATGAGCAATGACATGGTCAGCTCAGGGGCGTTGTCATTCACATCCATCACTTCTATGGTTACTGTGCATTTTCCAGATAGGCCTCCGCCATCTGAGGCCTGGATTTCCACACGGTAAGATTTAATTTCCTCAAAATCCAAAAGTTTTTTTAATCGAATTTCTCCCATGACTGCATTTATTTCAAAAGCCTGCATGACTGGATTGGAAGGATGGAAAAGGGAGTAGGTGAGCTCCCCATGGGTGCCAGCATCTAAATCTCTAGCAGAGACAGTGATAACAAGAGAGTCTATGGGGCTGTTTTCTGGGACACGTGCCTCATAGAGCAGCTGAGTAAATTCAGGAGCATTGTCATTGATATCCACGACCTGGATGACAACCTGGGACGTCCCTGTCCTAGGAGGGGAGCCTCCATCCACTGCCAGGAGGGTTAACCTGAGCTCAGGCTGCTCTTCGTGGTCCAGCACTTGGTTGAGCACTAGCTCTGGGTATTTCCGGCCGTCACTGTGAGTGCGAGTGAAAAGGTGGAAGTGGGAGTTGGTGCTAATCGTATAGTTCTGAACTGTGTTGCTGCCTACGTCCAAGTCCTGAGCTATTTTCAAGGGAAATGCAGTCCCTGGCTGCGTGTTTTCAGAAATTTTCAGGAATTCACTTTCCAAGAATTCTGGGGCATGGTCATTTATGTCTTGGAGCTGCAGCTCTCCTTGAAAAAACTGCACCGGGTTTTTCAGTAACACTTGGAAATGCAGTATACATGGATCCGTGTCACTGCACAACTCCTCTCGGTCCAATTTTTCTTTCAGGAGCAAATTGCCACTTTTCTGCTGGAGCTGCAAATGCTCTTTGTTCCCTTCGGAAAGAACCTGGCCCCCGCGCGCAGCCAGCTCCCCTAAGCCCAGCCCCAGATCCTTTGCTAGGTTGGTCACAAATGACCCACTCTCCCTCTCTTCTAGAACAGAATATTTAAGCGTTGCACAGCCCGCCTCCCACAACAGTAATAGAATAACAATGGCGGTCACTTGCCTTTTCTGCAGTGCTTTGGGGAGCGGCGAATCCATCCTGCCTTTGGTCCAAAAGATGCAGTATTTAATCCTCAGAATTCAGTCAACCCACCTTCTTGGTTCGGTTATATATGCGTTCGTTTTACCCTTGACGAGTGTGAGGATGCCTCTCCGAAATCGCCCACCTCCAAGAATGGCAAGTAGTTCCTTCTGCCAGGGAGCTGCTAGGAACTGCTCAGGTTTAATGGAGTCACGCGGAGCTGGATTTTCGCTCTCTTAGCCTGCAGCGCCACCAAGCGTTCCGCTTTACAACTTCATGTATTTTTCGTTTCAGAATGGATGGGAACAGCTCAAAGTGTCTGCACCTTTTTCGTTCAGAGAGCTGGACAATAACTAAGGATGACAGAAGAATAAGAAGCCTTCGAATTGTGGTTCTGGAGAAGAGTGAGCTACATCTCGCATACTTTGAGCACGTGGTCAGGAGGAACGGGTTCTTGGAGAAAGACATGCTCTGAAGGGTGCGGGGACAGCGCAGGAGAGGGAGACCCCAGATGAGATGGACTGATACAGTAAGGAACTGGGGCGATGGGTGTTTGTGTGTTGAAATCAGTGAGATGGCTCAGGACTAGGCCAGCTTTAGGGTCTCTATGGGTCGCAAGTGGCTCGATAGCACATAACAACAGCTCTATACACCCCCTTCTTTCTTTTATGCAGTATTGTTCAAGTAGCTTCCAATAATTTTGAGAGCAAAAAATTTCCTTAATAAGGTAAAAATTTAAAGCACAAGATTCTCTGCTCAAGACAAAATTCCTTTATTTATTTCACAAGTATTCATCTAGCATCTTCTAGTTTCTAGGGGTTAAGCAGTAAATGAAATACACAAATTTCTTCTCTCATGAAGGAATTAACAAAACAATTCATTTCATAAAACAATAATTCGTTTTGCTAGAAGAATATTATTATTTTTTTAAATATCCATTTCTACTCTCAAATTTTAGTATGTTGGAAACTCTGGAAAGAAAATAGTGGTGTAAATTCTTGCTAAACTGGGTTTCATAGCTTTGGGAATTATTTTCCTTACATAAAATTCACTGTGTGGAGTGTCCCATGAAATGGAGAAGAAAAAATATCATTTGTTTTGCTACAAGTTAGAATAAACTCAAATTTGGGCAGTGTCTGTTTTACAAACATAAAGAAAGCAATAAAGTCAGTGAAATAAATTTACACACAGTTTTTCTGGAGGAACGGTTGTAGCCTGTCGGCATTAAATAATTACCTCTTCTGGCGTATGTCCTTCAGAATAATGGAAATAGGGTTATTTAAAATTACTGCTGCTCCTATGAACTTTACCCACGTGGTTAGCATGAATGGTGGAAAAGTAAGTCCTTCAAGCAAAGAAGAATGTCGCTCAAGGAGGAAAGAATGAATAATATAGGAATATAAAGTATGAGATGGATTGATTCGATGACTGGAGTAATCGGGATGGGTGTGTCAGAGGCGGTGCGGTTGGCGCAGGATAGAGCAGGGTTTAGGGCTGTTGTGCATAGGGTCGCTATGAGTCGGAAACGACTCGACGGCACATAAGAACAACAACAACAACATCACAAACATAGATTATATGAACAAGATCAAATATGTCTAAAACGTGAAAATAAGGAGATATCGTGGTTTTTAAAGACAGTATTTACTTGTTGTGTACCGAGTCAGACTGATCCATAGCAGACCCTCTAGCGGATTTTCTGAGGCAGTGATTGCATGGGAGGAGATTGCCTATCCTTTTTGCTCAGAGCAGCTGGCTGATTTGAATCCCCTGCCTTCAGGGAATTGCAGCTCCGATTAAAGTGGTGGCTTAATGGTAAGAATCTGCACTGCAATCCAAAGGCATGCAGAAGGATGGCAAGGAAAAGGATGGGCAATCTCCTCCCTGGTGATTACTGTCTCTGAAAACAGGCTGGAGGGTCAGCTATGGGTGGGTTCCAACTGGATGGTACTCAACAACAAAAAGCAGAATTGGAGCTCTGGTGGCCCATTTGGATAGGGAGTTGTGCTACCAACCTGAAGGTGGTTGTTGTTATGTGCCATCCTGAGTCGCTTGTGACTCATAACGGCCCTAAGTACAAGAGCTCTAAACACCGTTCGATCCTGTGCCAACCTCGCTGTCTCAAACACACTCATTCCCACCACTCCAGTCACAGAATCGATCCATCTCATTGAAGGTCTTCCTCTCCTTTGCTGCCCTTCCACTCTCCCAAACAGGATGTCCCTCTCCAAGGACCAGTCCCTCCTTGCAACATGTCCAAAGTATGTCAGACCAAGCTTCAGAATCCTTGACTCCAAGGAGCATTCCAGCTTCACCCTCTCCAGGACAAACCTGTTTGTTCTAGCAGTCCATGGTATATTCAACACTCTTCTCCAGTACCACAGCTCAAAGGCATCAATTCTCTTTCTATCATCCCTATTCACTGTCCAACTCTCTGATGCATAGCATATAATAGTGAAGACTATAGCCCGGATCAGGTGCACCTTAGTCTCCATCGTGACATCCTTGCTCTTCAGTACTCTTGAGAGGTCCCTCACAGCTGACTTTCCCAATGCAATTCATCTCTTGATTTCCTGGGTGCTGTTGCCAAGAGTGTTTACTGTGGAACCAAGTAAATTAAAACTGTTAACTATCTCAATATCTTCGTGGGAGGGGGAGGAAAATGGAGAAGCTCTTCCTGTACAGTATACAGCCCCTGAAAACCCCCTAGAGGGTCAGCTATGAAGCAGTGAGTTTCAGTTTTAAGCATGGTGAAAGTGTTCAGTATTATAAGAAAAAAGTCAGCAGATAGAATCCACGAGGTACTCCGCAGGAGAAAGAGGTGGCCATCTGCCCCCCTAAGAACCATAGCCTGCCTCGGTGAAGTTGTTCTCACTCTGTTTTATGAGGACGAGTATCAATAGGAATGAGTCCATGGCACACAAGAACAAAAGCAACATCTTACCTAGGAAAATCTTTCAAATTATTGACAGATCCTTTCAATCAATTTATTGTTTGGTCATACAGTTTAGGGTGAGTGGAAGTATTTTCTATGTAGAAAAAAGGCAAAAATAATTAACTAAGAAGTGATCATAATTTCACAAATATACTCGAATGTCTCATTATAAAGAGAACATAGCATGTCTTAATTTGTTGTAAATGATATTATTTTTATATTCATCATCAACGATGTTATTATGTTTCTATTTATGGGGAGTTCTGGTTGCATAGTTTATAAGGAATTGTGCTGGTGACCCAAAGCTGGCCAGCAGCTGCTCTCCTCCCGAGTGATTTAGACCCTCAGAAAACCTGCTGGAGGATCAGCGATGAGCTGTTTTTGACTCAACAACAATGAGAGGGTTTTGGATATGAGAATGAAAGTTACCAGCAATAAACAAATATTCTTTAAGTATTTATCATTAACTTGGAAGTTTCTTAAAAAAGAAATCTATCACTCACTATCATACATCAACAGCACAAACTTTGAGTTCTCATTTAATGTGTTAAATTTAACTCAAAATATGTATTGACTAACCAATCATCCTAAAATACATTTAAATATGATATCTTAGTAATAAATTAAGTTATAAACATATTTCAAACTGTAGGAGTTACTCCCAAATGACGCTCGCATTGGAAGATTAAATAATAACAAACATTTGAATTGAAAGACCTTACAGTGAGGCAGTGATAACTATCATCAGTATTGGGAAGGATAGATTACTTAAGAAATTGTAAATATAATTTAAGAGAAAAAAATTGAAATATTGCTAAGAAAATTTTTACTTTTTATTTAGTTGGTCAGATACAGATGAATAGAGTAATTTTTTAAAAACCCCTAAAAGTATATAGGAAATCTGAGTAATGTCAATTAGATAGTTTAAAACCCAATGTCAATTTGATAGTTTAAAATTTAAACTTAATGAGTAATAGTAAAAATCAGCTAGAAACGGACCATCAATAGCATGCATCTATAACGTGTAAACTTGGGAGATCTACGAAATGGGTCAAGTTTAACAAGCTAATACTTAATTGAATTGGAGACTATTTCGAGTGGCGTTTTCCTCCATTTCCCTCGCAGTTTCCTGGGGAGGGAAGTTGGGGAAAATTGGCTTGAGGAACTTGAACTCGCTGATTCCGGAACCTCCCGTCAGACACACCTCATATTGGTAGTTGTGGGACAGGGTCCCGGTGCCACTGAAGTCCACTAAGTTGCCCGGAAATTGGCCCTCTGTTACTGAGAAGCGATTTACTGAAGTGGCCCTGCTCCTCCTGCACAGCCTCAGGGTGATGAACAGGACCACAGAGAAGAGGAAGAGCGAGGAGACCGAGGCCAGCGCGATGACCAAGTAGATAGTGAGGGAGTCAGCGTGGGGCTCCTCAGGGGCCACCTCAGGCAAAGGCAGGTAGGGCTGAGAGAAGCCATCCACCAGGAGCACGTGCAGAGTGACGGTGACAGACAGGGGTGGCTCCCCATTGTCCTTGACCAGCACCAGGAGCCTGTGCTTGGGCGCCTCGCGCTCACTCAGCAGCCTGGCCGTGCGCACCTCGCCATTGTGCGCCCACACGCTGAACAGCCCGGGCTCCGTGGCCTTGAGCAGCTGGTAGGACAGCCAGGCGTTCTGGCCAGAGTCGCTGTCCACCGCCACCACCTTGGTGACCAGGTAGCCCGCCTCGGCCGCCCTGGGCACCAGCTCGGTGCAGGGTGCAGAGCCGTTCTGCATGGGGTACAGCACGAAGGGCGCATTGTCATTGTCGTCTATGACCACCACGCGCACCAGCGCTTCGCTGCTCAGCGCGGGGGAGCCCGCGTCCGTGGCGCCCACGCGGAACTCAAAGGCTCGCAGGGCCTCGTAGTCCAGCGACCTCACCGCGAACAGGTGGCCATTGTCCGCGTTGATGGACACCAGGGAGGCCAGGGCCAGGTGCGGGTCGTGGGGCGGCAGCAGCGAGTAGGTGACCTGGGCGTTGGCTCCTGAGTCTCTGTCTGTGGCGCTGATGGTGCCCATGTGCAGGGCGGGGCTGTTGTTCTCGCGGATGAACAGGGTGTAGGAGGCTTGAGAGAAGGTGGGCGCGTTGTCATTCACGTCGGAGACCAGCACGGTTATCTTGTGCTCGGTTTTCAGCCTGGGGGTGCCCAAGTCGGTAACGGTGATGGTGATGTTGTACTCAGCTCTGCTCTCTCTGTCCAGGGTTCCTTCAGTTACCAGGGTGTAGAAATTCTCTATGGAAGGTCTTAGAAGGAAGGGGAGATTGTCATCTATAGAGCAGAGAACTTGTTGGTTGGGTCCAGAATCTGCATCTGAAACACTGAAAACTGCAACCATAATGTCTGGTGAGTTTTCAGGGATGGGGCTGGTGAGTGAGGACAGAGTCAGTTCAGGGGCATTGTCATTCACGTCCAATACCTTGATGAGTAAAGAACACTTTCCTGACAATCCTCCGCCATCTGTGGCTTCAATATCCACATGGAAGGACTGAAATGCCTCAAAATCCAGTGCCCTTTTCAGTTGAATTTCTCCCGTGACTGCATTTATTTCAAAGGGTTGGTTTAGGTCATCGACCTGAATTAGAGCATAAGATACCTCCCCAAAGGATCCTGCATCCAGATCTGTGGCTGACACGATGACCACCAAGGAGCCCAAGGGCTGGTTCTCTGGGACTTGGACTTCATAGAACTCCTGCGCAAACTCAGGGGCGTTGTCATTGCTGTCCAAGACGAAGATCTGAATCTCTGTGGTTCCTGACCGCGGAGGAGACCCTCCGTCCAGCGCTGTTAGGGTCAGCCTTAGCTGGGGCTGCTCCTCCCTATCCAGCGCTTCATCCAGCACCAACTCGGGAATCTTCCTGCCATCGCTGCGAGCACGAGTGAGCACGTGGAAGTGGGGGTTGGGGCTGACTTTGTAGCTCTGAAGGCTATTGCTGCCAGCATCTAAATCCTGTGCCATTTTCAAAGGAAATATCTTTCCTGGTGTTGTGATTTCTGATATTTTCAGTAGCATTTCTCCGGTTGGGAACTCTGGGGCGTGGTCATTTATATCTATGACGGTCAGTCCAGCCTGGAAAAATTGCAAGGGGTTTTCCAGTAGCACTTGGAAAGGTAATATACAGGGATCAGTGGAGCCACACAGCTCCTCCCGGTCCAGTTTTTCATTAAGCAGTAAATCGTAGGTCTCTGGGTGAAGCTGCAAATGCTGTCTGTTTCCCTTGGAAACAAGCCGGGCGCCTCGTGTAGCCAGCTCGCCCACCCCGAGTCCCAGGTCCTTTGCCAAGTTAGCCACAAACGTACCACTTTCTGCCTCTTCCAGCACAGAATATTGCATTGTTTCTGAACCCACCTCCCATAAAAATATCAATATAATAAAGCTTTGTACTTGCCTTTTCTTGTGCTGTGCTTTTGGGTCCGCCATCTCTATTATTGTCAGATTCAAGGTGAAAACCAGAAAAGTCCTTTCAGCTCCCAACTGCTACTTCCACCATTGACTCCCCTGAACAATTATTTGCTATAGAATTTAAAGTTTGTTCTTATAACTAGTACAGTGACGCCTGCCTTCTAGAATGCTTCTTTAGCTCTAGGCTGTAAATGTATTCTGTATTTTCACTTCAGCTTTCTAGTATAATGGAGTCTACAGAATCGGAGGAGGGTTTTTTTTAAAATCCACTCTCTTAGCCTGCACCGCCACCATGTGTTCAAATCAGTAACTTCATGAAGTACTCCTAGATTAAGAACATTTCTAAAATCCTTTACAAACAAAAACGTCAATTTTAGTTTGTGAACTGCATGCGTAAAATATTACCTGGGATAATATTTTATTTGATATTGGAAATCTTGGAGAAAATTTAGAGGCGATTCTGACAGGAGCAAGGCATCTTTCTCCTTACGAGGCTCAGGCACTCTCATGTTTAAGAATCACTCCTTCGAAGTAAACTTATAATAAAAAAAATTTGTTTCTCCAGCAGTTCAATTTCTCTCTGATAAACTGTGTAATTTGTAAGTCCAAAAAGTGGATTAAAATTGTGCCTGCACACACATTTTCTGGGAAAAGCAGAGGTTTAGCAAATGGGAAGATCTTCAATGAGATGGCTTGGCACAGTAACTTTATCAATGAGCCTGAGCATGGTGGATGTTGTGTAGATGGTACATGATAGGACAAAGTTTTGGTCTGTTGTTCACAGGGCTGCTATGAGTCACAGTCAATTTGCTGGCACCTAACAACTAATGACAAACACGTGAACAAACGACACAAAACTTAGGAGAAGTAACTTGGTTAGCAACACTGATCATCTTTTATTTTACTAGTATTAAAAACAGTCCATTCTTCAAAGTTGCATGATTCATACAGTGGCCATGCCAACATATTATGTGGTCATACAGTAAGTGGAACAACATGCATGAAGGGAAATTAAAGCCAAGAAATAAGTGTAAGTATCTAAGCAAACAAAATCACTTAGAATCTAGGAATAACCAAGTATTTATCATATCATTTTAGAATTCTACTGCAATTTTGTCTCAGTAGAATAACTGATTTTTAAGGAATTTATTAATTTTCAAGTATTCTTTTAGATGAATCACACTGTTATACTAATAAATTTATCAGGGTCTATCTATATTACTCTATTGTAGGATGATCAGTGCAGAAAGCAAGTATTCATTCTCCCAAAAAGGAGGACATTAGGTTTTATAAACACAGAGCAAATTGGGTTGTCTAAAAGATGTTTTAATGTGAATTACATTTGAGTAGATACCAGGACAATCAATGATATGATATAATGTATATTTCCATTATTATGACATCAGTTTTTCTCAGATAAATTGGAAAATGTATCTTGAAGTATCCTGAAAATGTAAAATGTATTGAAGAGTACTGGATACATATACACAAGATATTCCAAACATAACTCCATTTGGTTTTATATTGATTGGGAGGAGGAATAAATTGCGTTCAAGCAAAACTCTCTTCAGGTAAAACCCAAGGTGATGGAAGCATGAAAGGGAGGATTTTTAAAATTTCAAATGCACGTAAAATAAATAAAACCTAAGCTCTGACAGATAACTTTTTTTTAAAAAATATTACCTCTATCTACCAAGAAAAATAAAGAGGGGATCAACACCTACATAGTTCACTTGATAAGTGCTACTGAGAAAAGGCTGTTGCTTCCACAGAGCTGCTGATGGATTTGAACCAGGTGTCTCTGATATGGCAGTGCCACTTTCTACCACTCGGTATCATTGACACTAAAAATTAAACCCGTAAAGCAAAACCAACAATCATAAGCATCTAGAATGGATTCCATTTCTTCTCTGAAACAGCATATTTCTACCACTATCTTGAAAGCATCCTTAATGAATATTCTGAGTTGTATGTCAATTTTAATGATATCCTGGGATGTGAAGAGTCCTTTATTGACTCTGTTTATGGCAGTACCACCAGTACTACAAACACTTTCAATACAACCTATTGAATTATTTTTAATTTTAGAGCAAATTTTAATAATAATATCGAAAACTCCACTGCCATTGAGCCTGACTCATGGCCACCCTCCACTGGGTGTCTGAGGTTATAGATCTTTATGGGATGGGGCTGTACAGTTTTTCTCCCCAGGAGAAACAGGTGGGTTGGAACCACAAATCTTGTGGTTAGCAGACCAACATTATGCCATCAGAGCTTTTTAATAACAACATAATACACATCTAATTAAATTTAAATAATTGAAATGTCTTTTCAGAAATGGGAAACAATTTGGTTCCTGAGAATGTTAATAATTATGATAGAAAGGAGATAATAATCGTTCAGTAGACTATACTAGTTGAGTATAACAAGAAATTATCTTTTTATGTAAAGGAGATTGCATTAGATTTTCTGCTTAATCTCATCTATTATCATATTAACTTGGTAAGAGTAACACTGAACTGACTTCTTTCTTGAGCATATTCTCATTCTCATCTACATAACCATGTGAATTTTTTACCATGAAAAATTTACAACATTAAAAGATAAAAAGAATAATATAATGATCTCTATAGTTCTCAGATTCACAGCATTCAATTACTGGCATTTCTTTGAACTCTCTACCTTTCATTCAACGATTATAAAAGTATTGTAGTTATTTTCTGGAAATAGTTTTTTTTAATTAAAATGCACCAATATTAATTGCATCATTTTACCAAATTGGTATGTCTGCAACTCATACTTCTTTCAAGATACGTAACATTTTCATCATTTATGATTAACCTATTTCAGCTTCATTGTAATACCATTGAGCGCCATAATGTTGTTCTCTTCTGGACACAACATAGAAAAGTAGACAATAAATAAAAGCACCATATTCTGATTATCTTTGTTAACCTGAAGTGGTAGATATTCATAAAATTAATTAAGCTGTCGAATTAATGGTGAACTTAAATATGATTTTTTGTTATGTACCATTGGGTCACTTGTGACTCACAGTGACCCTATGTACAACAGCCCTAAACCCTACTCTATCCTGTGCCAATCTCAGTCCCTGAATCAATCCTCTTCATAGAGAGTCTTCCTCTCCTGCGCTGTCCTTCTACGCTCCCAAGCATAATGTCCTTCACCAAGGATTGGTCCTTCCTTGCAAACTGTCACGCGAAGCTTCAGAATCCGTGGCTCCAAGGAGCAGCCTGGTTTAACCCTCTCTGGGATGAACCTTCCACCAATCCTAACGCCACGCTTCTCCTCATAGAGCCCAGGCTCTCGGATAATCTGCTCTGCATACAGGTTGAAAAGGTATGGAGATAAGACACATCCCTGACATACACCCTTCCCAATTTTGAACCAGGCAGTGTTGCCCTGCTCTGTTCTGACGACTGCCTCTTGGTCCAAGTATAGGTTTCGCATTAGCATGATTAAATGTTCTGGGATTCCTATTCTTCTCAGAGTCAGCCACAGTTCATTATGATCCACACAGTCAAATGCCTTTGCATAATCAATGAAACACAGACATTCTTCTGGTATTCTCTGCTTTCAGCTAAGATCCATCTAACACCAGCTACAATATCCCTAGTACCACGACCCCTTCTAAACCCATCCTGGACTTCTGGCAGTTCTCTGCTGATGTACTGTTCCAGTCGTTTTTGGATAATCTTCAGTAGAATCTTGCTTGCATGTGGAATCAATGCTATTGTTCTGTAGTTTCCACACTCAGTTGGGTCGCCCTTCTTTGGGATGGAAACAAAAAAAGATCTCTTCCAGTCAGTTGGCCAAGTGGTTGTCCTCCAGATTTCTTGGCACAACTTGGTGAGCACATCCAGGGCAGCATCTGTTAGCTGAAATATGTCAATTGGTATACCATCTATTCCGGGGGCCTTATTTTTTGCTATTTCCTTCAAAGCAGCTTGAACTTCCTCCTTCACCATGGGCTCTTGCTCAAATGTTATTTCATTAAATTCTTCTGTATCTGCCAATTCCTTTCGATACAATGACTCAGTATATTCCTTCCATCTTTTTTTGATACCTCCTGGATCATTTAACATTCTGCGGAAAGCATCCTTGATTATAGCAACTCGAGGTTTGAATTTGTTCTTCAGTTCCTGCATTATGCAGATGACACAACCCTGCTCGCTGAAACTGAGGAGGACCTCATGCACTTACTGCAGAGGGTCAAGGACTGCAGCCTTCAGTATGGACTGAGGCTCAATGTGAAGAAGACAAAGATTCTCACCACTGGACCAATTGGTAGCATCAGGATGGATGGTGAAGAGACTGAGATTGTTTACAGCTTCAGTTTGCTAGACTCCACGGTCAACACTCTTGGCACCAGCAGCCAAGAAATTAAAAAAAAAAAAAACACAACATATTGAGATGGGAAAGTCTGTGGTTAGGGACCTCTCTAAAGTACTCAAGGGCAATGGTGTCTCTCTGGAGACTAAGGTGCGCCCGATACAAGCCATGGTCTTTGCAATCAGTTTTTATGCATCAGAGAGTTGGACAATGACTAGGGAGGATAGAAGAATTGACGCCTTTGAGCTGTGGTGCTGGAGAAGAGTATTGAATGTTCCATGGACTGCCAAGAAAACAAACATATCCATCCTGGAGAGGGTTAAACCAGGCTACTCCTTGGAGGCAAGGATTCTGGGGCTCCGTCTGACATACTTTGGACATGTTGTAAGGAGAGACAGGCCCTTGGAGAGGGACAGCGCAGGAGGGGAAGACCCTCCATGAGGTGGATTGATTCAGTGACTGGGGTAATCGGGATGGGTGTGTCAGAGGCAATGAGATTGGCACAGGATAGAGCAGGGTTTAGGGCTGTTGTATATAGGGTCGCTATGAGTCACAAGCGACTCAACGGCACATAACAACAACAACAGGATGAACCTGTTCATTTTTCTAGCAGTCCATGGTATATTCAATACTCTTCTCCAACACCCCAACTCAAAGGCATCAATTCTCCTTCTGTCTTCCCTAGTCATTGTCCAGCTCACTGACGCATAGCAAGTGATTGCAAAGAACATGTCTTATATCAGGCACACCTTAGTCTCAGAGTGACACCATTGCTCTTCACTTTGAACAATTATAGAATATTTAAACTTTATTTTATTTAATTAGCTTGTAATTATTACATAGTTAAGTTGATATTCCTTTTCATTCCAACAGAGCTCCTTAAGATAGGGTATGTCTAAATCAATTTAGATAATTTCAGTCTTTTAAAGAAATGTTTCATTGTTTAGTTCCTGAGAATATTGATAGTTATGACAGAAAGAAGATAATAGTTCAAATAATAGCTACAAATGTTTGTTTTCCTCTAATTCTAATTTAAAAGCATTCTCTACATTTATTAAAAATTAAAGATAAATCTAAGAGTAACTTCTTGGACTTCTCAAACTATATTCAAAGAAAAGCACAATAATTTAGTGGAAATATACAGTGCTATGGAAACAATCCACTAAAGAAGTTTCTTGGTTCATGGGAGATAGGCTGCCAGTAAGTTTGAAAACAAGATAGATTTAAAGGAGAAGAGCCTAAACTATAGTTGAAATTGCAAATGGTTGAATAAGGCTTTTTGTCAGTCTTGCCAGGGGTGTGTTCATTTTACTGATCTTGTCAAAGGACTAGAGTTTTTTTCCCCTTGATATTTCTCTATTGCTTTTTTGTTTTGAATTTTATTTATCTCTATATTTATCTTTATTATTTCCTTTATTAGCAATGCTTTGAGTTTATTTTGCTCATAATTTTCTAGTTCTTGAGGTAGGAGCTTGGAGGATTGACTTAAAATTTTCTCTTCTCAATGAAGTATTAAGTGCAATTAAATATCTTTTTAGCACTGTTTTGGCTATGTCCCACCAATTTTAATATGTTGTTATTTTAATTTTTAATTCCATTCAATGCACTTTAACAAATTTCCGTTAGGATTTCCTTTTTTACATGCAAGTTATCTCGTGGTAGTATTGGTGTTTTTTTTATTTTCCAAGTGTTCTGGAGATTTTCCTGATATATTTTTGTTATTTCTTTTAATTTTTAATTCCTTGTGGTTGGAAAACACTCTATTATTTCCATTATATTTAAATTTGTTTAAGTTTGCTTTATGGTCCAAGATGTAGTTTATCTTCCATATATTTTGGTAGCACTTGAAAAGAATATATGTTCTTCTTATGCATTAACATCAATTTGCTCCTGTTGGCTGATGATATTATTGAGATCTATACTCTTGAGCTTTTATGTTTAGTTATCAGTTGTTGAGAGCGAGATGTTGCAGTCTGCCACTGAATTGTCTTTTTCTTCCTTCACAGTTATAACTTTTTGCTTCACATATTGTTTGGTGCATTTAGGATTGCAATGTCTTTCTGATGGATGGGCATTTTTTGTTGTTGTTGGTGTACTGTCGAGTCAGAACTGATCCATAGCTGACATAGAGGTTATTTTATTTTACTTTATTATTTTCTCTGTGTGTGTACAGTCACATTGGATCTGACTGGTACAGGAGGAGATGGCCCCTCCTTCTCCAGCAGAGCATCTAGTGGATTCGAACTGCCTATCTCTGGGATTGCAGTGCAGCTTCTTGCCACTAGGCCACCAGAGCTCCCGGACATAGAGGGGTTTTTGTGGCAGTTAATTGCAAGGGAGGAGATTGCCCATCCTCTCGCGCAGCGGTTGGTTGTCTCGAACAGTGTGACTTTGGGGGATTGCACCTTCTTTTATACTTTATTGAATGACCTTTGTCTCCGAGATTTTCTTTGATATGAAGACTATCTGGCGTTAATATGGCCACTCCACTCTGGCTTTCTTTCAGTTAACGTTTGCATATTTTTCCCCACTATTTTACCTTCAGCCTGCCAGTTTCATTATATTTGGAGCGGCTTATAAATAGCATAGATTAGGTTCAAATTTGTTAACATTTTCATCAACTTGTCCAATTTTTCTTTTAAGTAGTTTATTTAGGTCATTTGCATTTAATATAGTTAGTGATATGTTAGAATTTAAATCTAGGACTTTATTTTTTGCTTTCTGTTTCGTTTGTTTGTTGGTTTAGCAGGTTGTCATTTCCCAGAAATCCATTTTGATGTGTGTATAGTGTATACATTGTTCTGAACAAACCTTTTTAGTGGTTGATCTACTTATTGTACTTGCCGTCATTTTACATTAGCACGGCATGACAACAAGATCATAATTTTGTATAGGCAGTGCTTGTATTACAAAGAAGTCCTGTTCTTAAGTCTGTCTTTCAGCTGAGTTGGAAAAGTTAGCTATAGTTCATACAGAATACTAATCAAATGTTGGCCTTAGTACATAGAATACAAAGTATGTTTCTATACATAAAAACATTAAAGAAACACTTCCCTAAGCCTAGGAACATCTTAACATAAGAAGAAAATAATAATAATAATAATAATAAACACTGCCAATGTTTTGATTTATATATTAAAGTTTGTTATCATGTCTTAAAAGTTTCTTAAAATGAACCATTGGACATAACATCAAATTTTTATATACTAGGCTTTATTGGATGGTTTGTAACTAAGGTTGCCTGTAAGTCAAATGTTCATAATTCAGAGATGTGTCTGTACAGACTTAGAGATCATTTTGCTCAGATAGCAACAGAAAGATAAGCGCTTGAGTTAGAAAATATGAGGAACATAATGATTTTCAATTTGAAAATATTTGAAGAAAGAGTAAAGCACTGGTGGTATAATCCTTAGAAAACTGCAGCCCCAAATGTGGGGCTGGGCTCCTTTGGTAGTTAGAATCCACCATTGATGGACAATCTCCACTATATGGTTTACAGCCTCTGAAAACCTGCTTGCTGGTGGGTCAGCTGTGAGTTGATTGTGACTTGACAACAATGAGAGGGGTTGTTTTGGTTTTATAGTAAAGCTGATAGAATATAAAAGAGAGAATTTATTTGATCTTGATTCTAAGAATATACTATTTTGACATGGAAAACACAACCTTATATTCAAAGAGCAGGAAACAGAGTGTATATGTCTAAGTAGGATGAGTCTTCAATGAGTAATGTTTGGGACAACCAGAAACTAGCCTGGCACTCACAGTGAGGCTCAGTCCTCTGTTTAATATAAAAATGTTCACAGAAAAGTAGTATCAGAAAAGACCACGATGACCCTTGACAAAGTCAGATCAAAATAAGATTGCCTCATAATTATATTTTAGTGGAGATAAAAACAAGACCATTGTTCCAGTCACAAAAATTATAGCAAAGCCCCTTTCCTGACTAATATGGGTGAATATTACTTCTTTACTAATGACAATTTAAGCTAATTTTGTTTTTCCTGTTTTTTAAAAATGAAATTAAGGCTGTAGAATTAACTCCACTTCCTGGAAGTACAAATCCAGGAATGCAAACGTGTGTCTGCCAAAAGACATGTACCAGAGTAATCATAGTTGCACTGTTTATAAGAGCCAAACCTTGCATCAACCCAAACCCATCTATAGAACAATGGGTAAAAAACTATGACAGATTCTTACACTGGATTCCTGTAGAGCTATGAGAATAAAATAACTAAAATCAAAGCAGTTTTATGAATAATTTTACCAATACATTGTATAAAAGCAATGAGACACAAAACAGTTCATGATCTAGTATTCTATCTACATAAATGCAAAACAGGCATAACTAACTTGTAATACTTAGAAGTGAGAGTATCTGTTTTCCCTGGGTTTGTCATGACTGTAAAGGATGATTTGTGTGGAATCTGGAGTGCTGGTTATTTTCTGCCACCTCCCCGCCCCAATCAAATAGTTAGTACCACTTCTGTTCACTTTGAGAAAATACATTGAGCTGACCAAGGACTTGGTTAATTTTCTATATATAATTCAATACATTTCCTTTAAAAATGCTATCTAATGAAGATCCGGGTTTGGAAAGAAGAGTACATAGGGTATTGTAACTTTTCACCATAAATCTTTCTCACATATTTGATTTGTTAACATATGCATTTATTTCTTAAAAAAATAATAAAAGCAAAAGCATATACACTTTCACGCTTTGCTATTTAACATCAAATATACATGGGGTTTAATGAAACAAAATTAGTAGACTACTGAGACAATGAAATTAATATTTTATTTTATTAAGACAATTCATCATGACAAATACCAACAGGAGAACAAATATTTCAAGAAAATTGATTGCATGCATAGAGTTGGAATGGGCACCACGTAGGTTAATGCAGGAAAGTAGGATTGGGTTTTCTAAAATTGAACAAGATAATGTTCAGTGGATAAATAAATTACAAAAGAAAATTCAAAGTCATAGCTAAAGGGATTTTTCTCCATGATACTCTCAACTTCTTCAAGAAAAACAGCACAACATTTTGCATCATGATCCAATTCCTAGTTGAATCCAAAGCTATTATGGAGTGTGGTGTTTTTATCAATTTCTTCGCTAGTGCCCTGGGGTGGGAGATTGGGGATAATAGGCTTCAGAAATTTGAAGTCATTTGCCCCAGAGACTCCTGTCAGACATATCTCATACTTGTAGCTATGGGACAGGGTTCCGGTGTTGCTGACGTCCACCAAGTGGTCTGGAAAGTAGCCCTCCGGCAACGAATAGCGATTCACAGACGCAGCCCTGTTCCTGTTGCACAACCGCATGACAACAAACAGGAGCACAGAGAAGAGGAAGAGCGAGGAGACCGAGGCCAGAGCGATGACCAAGTAGACCGTGAGGGAGTCAGCGTGGGGCTCCTCAGGGGCCACCTCAGGCAGAGGCAGGTAGGGCTGAGAGAAGCCATCCACCAGGAGCACGTGCAGCGTGACGGTGACAGACAGGGGCGGCTCCCCATTGTCCTTGACCAGCACCAGGAGCCTGTGCTTGGGCGCCTCGCGCTCACTCAGCACTCTGGCCGTGCGCACCTCGCCATTGTGCGCCCACACGCTGAACAG